TGAGTGGCAAGGTCACAAAAAATGCTGGATTTCTAGGGCTCAGAAATGCCATTTTCCACATTCTGATACAAATTTGTAAAAGTAATTACAAGGTCATAAGTTACAAAGTTCTGTTATAGTTACCAGGGACGCCGGAACTGGGGGGCCAGGAGGGGCAGCTGCCCCTCCTGTCTTTTGCTAGGAGGGGCAAGGGGAGCAGAAGTGCCCTTTGAGTTATAAAATACTACGTAATAAATCACATTTCCAGTGATGCTTTTTGGGCAAAATCATGAGGTGTGATCTTGAATGTGACCTGATTAAGTCCGTTTGCTTTCATTGGCAAGTCAACACATAATTGTAGGTTTATATCTTCACCGGGGTCTATAGAGGTGCCCTTTGGTGTGTGTTTGCCCCCCCCTGCCTTTTTATCGTTGCGACGTCCCTGGTTGTTACATTGGAACAAGGCACAGTACACATGAAAATATATTTAGATTTATTGATTATCAACTGAAACATTTGATAACATTTTTCACCTGTTGTCATCATCACACATTTGCTATCTAAATTTACACTAAATCCATTTTTCTGGAAGCAATATTTACAATTATTATTTATTTAAAAAATTCCTGATTTCTGATTGGCTAACAGCCAACTGTGACATTGTCATACCAACTCAATGGCCAACCAAATATGGATTTTTCACATTCATATTAGCAAAATGACGTCAAAGAGTCAATATGAAAAAAATTTGGACGTGTTTGCGTCATATTACTATGACGACGAGAATCATATTTACTCGCTGACGATTTGATATGACGACGACGACGGCTGCCGAAGGACTAAGGGATTGTTTTTTTCTTAATACAAATAAAATACAAATGGGCGAACAAATGGATGACCGTTTGTTTTGAATTTTTAAAATAAATAATAAAACAATTATTGAATTCGGTTTTCGCACAATATGAAGAATTATCAAGCCCTCAGTTTGCCGTTATCAACCTCAGCCTTCGGCTTTGGTTGATAACGGCAAACTTCGTGCTTGATAATTCTTCATATCGTGCTCAACCTCATTCAATAATTGTTAAATGTTTGTACAAGGTTTTCTAGAATTAATGACTATTAATTGGTTTGACTCATTGCTTACTTCACCCCCCATCAATCTCTGGTAGTATTTGAACTTTACATGAGAATGGTTGGTGAATACCATTGAATGGGCAGATATGTTAAAGAGTAAGCAATGGAACAAATTTGAAATCTGCATAATATTAAACCAAATAATCTAACGCTAGTATGTTACAGAGTAGACGATGGAACAAATTTGAAATCTGCATAATATTTCTGAGTGTGGATAATAAGTCTACAGAGTGAACTACCAGTTAATACTAGTATAGATTTGGTATTAAATAGAGAAAAAATGTACATTGTACGTACAGATTTACATTACATTCGCTTTATTGATTGATACAGCAAACAAAATTGAACATTCTTCACGACTTGTGGTATCACATTGTTCCACAAATCAAGATCAAAAAGGGCAAAAATGCAGTCGTAAGCGTCACGTGAAAAATCCGGACAGGACAGACACAGGACAGGACAGGACAGGACAGAAAGGACAGATTTGAGTTATATGACAATTGCGAGCCATTTAATGGCTTGCAGCAAAAACCACACTACACTAACTATCTCATCCATCTATACCATCCGCTAACATACGCCACAAGACCTACAGTCACATGATCACACTACGATAGATCCTACTCCACCCTTACCATCACAATCATTTAAACTCACTGTACCATTGAGTAAGGGAGTGTTCATTATTTATACCCGGGGTTGATACCGAAGAGAAACTAATCGAAAAGAGAAAAAAACAACCACCCAACCTTTCGGTCAACCAATTTTTTCCCTACCCAACTATTGCATGACTTGGATTTTTATTTTACCCAACCCAATTTCAAAATTATACAAGTATTTTACATATATACATATATATTATTATACAAGCTAGGCCACTATAGTATAAACAGTACTATGCAAATTTGGTGCACTAACTGAATGTCAAATATAATCATTTGTACCTTCACAAGTTCATATTATGTACCCAAGCCTCCAAGTTCCTGCAGTCCTACCATATCTCGTTGTTATAATCATAGGGGATGGGGAGTTGGAGTTTAGTTTTCTATGTGGGGAATGCATGGATATTTCCTGGAATGACCCATTTTGTTAAATAAAGGATTTTCATATTTTGTGCAATTCAAGGTTTGTATTGAAAATAATTTACCCAACCATAGGGTCAATTTTTTGAACAAAGCCATGCCATAGGCTTTGTTCAAAAAATATTTACCCAACCCTTCATACCCCAGAAAAATGGCTTACCCAACCCATTTCTCTTCGGTACCAACCCCGGGTATAAATAATGAACACTTAAAAGGACCTGTCATTTGCTCTACTTCAAAATTAATTCATCATTAAGTCTGTTTTCTTTGATGTACCAAGGTGATTATTTTTAATAATCACCTTCAATATTAATTTAGCTGAAAAGATGAAGGAAAACTCAGAAAATGGTCGTTCAAAGCAGACAAAACTGTGTTGGAAAACTTCCTTAATGATGAATTAAACATGATAAACACCTCGAAAGTCAGGATTTATGTCAGCTAGATAATGTTGTTTATTCGGTGTTTATCCTATACCGCTTAACTGAAAATATAAACAATAAAATACGTAGTGTTGAAATGTCCCGCACTAACAAGACCTTTGGTAGGATAACTTGACTAATAACATGTAGTAGTTATATCATTTTTCACTATCTTTCCACCTTTCATTTTTGTTAATACTGGGTAATTGGTTATTTTCAATAACTTCGTAATAATTTTTTTCTCTTGGTCTCACATTATTATCCGAACTCCTTCCTTCTCGTCTTTGATGCACCCCACTTTATTATTTTACTCTGTCTAATGCCAGATTATTTTACTCTGTCTAACAGCAGACTATTTTTCTCATCCAGGGGAAAGCATTGTCACCTATGGGTTAAGGTTACAGGACACCCTTTTTGGCGTTTTGCGGAAAACCGCTACTGCGCGCTTAATATCAGTCCGATTTTAATCAAATTTTCACCAAATGTTCGCCAGGGTATGCAAAATATGGTAAAGTTGTAAAATTAACAAACAATAAAATAATGCAAGAATTATTCAGGAAAATCTTAAATCGCGGTACCTACGCTTTTGAGTTGTGCTCCTGCTGGTTTTAAGTTATATTTATGAAAACATCATTTTTATACAGTAAAATAGTTGTTCTAAAAAATTGTGTTCGGAAATTTTTGTTTATTTCGTCATTCCGCTGATATAGCGATTTCTTTGACGACTGCAATTATTTCTGAATTGTTTGAGTGAATTGCTCTTTATTAATTATTATTAAAATATCCAAAATTTAAAAAAAACCGAACACCATTTTGAAACTGACGTCTTTAGCTATGTTCTGTGAAAATTTGAGAAAAATTGGTTAAAACCTGCAGGAGCACAACTCGTTTGAAAATCAGTAATTACCGTAAAATTTTTCGGGAGAAAATTGAATTTGAATATTACATTTTCAATGTTTTTTCTTATTGCAGCGAAATGTAGTTTATTAAATAACTCTGCAAGTTTTCAACATTTTTCGTTCAAACTTGGTCAGATAGTAGAACTAGTCTAATGCTTTCATGGAAACCAATAAAAAAAACTTAGGTAAAATTAACACTCAAAGGTGTTCTGTAACCTTAACAGTGTAAATTGAAACATATTCACACATGACCCACCCATATTGTAGTGAACAATTTTCTCTGGCCCACCCTTTTTTGCAAGCATGAAAATGGTGGCACACCCCCCTTTTTCTCCAGCCCATCCCCCATTTTTATGACTGGTCCCTTATATAATCCGTTTAGCTCGTATACCTACGTCATAACAACCGCCTTAGTCCTCATCAAAGTGGAAATAGAAAACAGCACTCTACGGAAACCTTCAATATCTTAGTTGGTGTGCGACTCTTTATTGGACGCAATGGACAATAAAAAGCTGTCTACTGGGCTAATATTATTAGTTCTATCCAAGGCTTTTGACAGCATCAGTCATGCAATCCTGCGACGTAAGTTAAGCTATGTTGGTGCATCCCATGAAATAGTTAAATGGTTTCAAAGTTATTTTTCAAGACGAACACAAAAGGTCCGCATCAGCTCATCTGTATCCAAAGCTCTCCCTATCACACACGGTGTCCCACAGGGAGCTCCTTTTCTGCATATATAAAAAATGATCTTCCATCAGTAACACAAGCTTTCGACATAGATTCTTATAGTCGTCGACAACTCTAAGATCTTCTTATCATTTTCGATCGAAGACGTTGTAGATGCCAAGCACAATCTCGAAAATGACCTATGCCATGACAATGACACAACGTATTAAATGACGTCATGCTGTGGAAATACGAATATGAAATGTGGAAACACGACCAAAACAATATGGCACCGCGTTTTGTTTTTTGGGAAACAGGAAAGATTTTGAAACTTCTTTGAAACATTGGGAATACTTGTATTTGCTGGGAATACTTGTATTTGCTCATTTTGCATTTCTGACGGCAACGTTCTCCTTCTCCGAGTCTCTGATCCTTTTGGGGAGCTTCTCACTTCTACTTTTATAGGGGCAATAGCCATCCCTCTAGCCCCACCTGTTCCGCCGCCTATGGAAGGTTTCAATTTGTATGTGTTTTATGATATGGCCTATTATAAACAGTCAAAATTTTTTTTTTTTTTATATATAAATATTAAAGACGACGTCATTTGCAGGGCAATATGTCTCCTATTGTATCATTCATGTATTTACGTTATTATTTCGTTATGTAATTATTTCATACTGTTTGCAGGCTAGACCAATATCAACATCGATCCCAGGCTTTTCCCACACGAAAAAACATGGAACGACGTTGGTCCAATATGGCTTCTTCGTTGTTAGCCTGAAAAAAGGATAACCAAACACTGAGTGAACCAAACCCACTAACGCCTGCTTTGCAGGGTAATTCGTTGCGTAGTTTTGATTTGATTTGTCAAATGTATCGACAGAGGTACCCCGGCGTTCTCATTAAGTTTAAGTATAGGTAATAGCATGGTTTCGAGTGTAATTTGGATTATATTAACATGCACGAGTGAGTTTTTCAAAGACCTCAAATTTTATCCAAATTTCACGAGAAACCATGCTATTACCATGGATATTATCCATGCTATTACTTATTAATAATTTACTTAAAAATGTTCTAGACAATTGTAGTTTTAATTTACGCGTTTATAGCGAACATTCCACTGGCAAAGTTTTCCTGGCTTTGTTATATCACATTATACAACGCTAACAGTTTGAAAATTCCACTCAACTATGTAATTTTTGTTAGTCTTGTTTAAGGTAAATGCTTTTCCATTTTAAAATAAAGATAAAAGCTATATTTTCCACGAGAAGGCAACTTTTACTTTGTATAGCGCGCTGCGCGACGCCATGTTTGTTTTGTTTTGAAGCAATCTCAGAGAGCAATCTGTGACCATTACTTCTTTAAACTAAATTGCTTTGAACTGATTTGTTGATTTAATCATCACAATGTTTTTCCACCAATCAGAGCAGTTTGTCACAGATTTTTGCACTGTGATTACAGAAAATTGCACTGTGATTACAAAAACTTGCACTGTGATTACAGAAAATTGCACTGTGATTACAGAAAATTACACTGCTGTTTGGGATTAACTGCACTGAAATCAACCAATCACAGTCGAGTAATATCTTTATGTACTATTTAAAAAACGAGCTTCAAAAACGTTTGCATAATAAGTCAAATCTGAATATGAAAAATCTTTATATAAAAATCTTTTTATAAATTAAAAATCTTTATATAAAAATCTTCAGTATAGTTTGCATAACAATGGTCTTTTGTTAAAGTGTTCTTTAGCTGGTATAAAGACGTATGCACGTGACTAATTTCTTACTCAGGATTGGATAATTGCTTCATGAATTATTAATGCGTTTTTGAAGTATATTATTATAACTGTAATAATAATCTATGTCTTTTCAAATTGACAAACAAAATTTGCGTATACTCAATCACATTTACTAATACACCCCACAACACATTCAGATTTTCACTGTAGCCATATACATCTTTTACAAAGTTACGGATTATTTACGTGCACTCTGAGGGCGCTCTTTATACATTATGCTTTCGTAGTTTAAATTTCGTCCATTATCCAGAGAAAATAGAAAATGTTAAAAACAACAAAAGTTAGAGGGAAAATCACTCGAGAAACAGTATCCAATGGACTCACAAAATCAACAAGTAACTGTCTTTCTTGGCATCGTTTTTCTTCTGTCGGCATTTTGGGTTTACGTCGATAGTTTTGTCGCTGATCAGGTGGAAGGTTTGGATCAAGGATAGCCTGAAATGATCGTGAAGGAATCTTTCTTAGAGGAAAACCACCGTTGACACAACCAGACTCGAATTTGAGGTTGAATGTTGGTGACCATGACGGATGACGATCGACAGTTTGCTTGATATTTTGTTGCCCTTCTACATTTTCACCTTCATCTCTATTGTCATCTTCCAGCTGGGTGATGGAAATTGGAAAACATGTCTTTTTATTTTTAACTGGGGTTGATAATTTATATTGCAAAATAAACTTGTATATCACCTTGAATGCAGGCCCTTCGTCCTATATTAAGTGTTGAGATGTAGTGTACCAAGCTCGTGAATATTGTTTAGCGCTGCATTGAAGAAAACGGTTTTCTTAACCCTCTTAAAGGCCCGTTTACACTTGCAATTTCTGCTGCGATTTTAGGTGCGATGTTCTTTGTCTGATGCGATGTGAACAAGTGGATGAGTTATGAATGAATTCAGATGAGGATACATCAGTGTCAGTGAGACATATACTCAGAACATTCACAATGTATTTACTCGTTCACATGCATTGGAAGAAGAAAATCGCACCTAAAAAGTGTAAACAGGTCTTAACGAAGAGCCCGAAACGTCGCCGTGGTTTATAAATCTTTCTCGGGTTAATGACGATTGACGATTCATCAACATTCATGGTTTCAGACTTGTCATGGAATGTATACGTTTAACGAATGGAACATGTTCTACGATAGGGTTGCATAATATTATTCTGTTTATAGCAAGATTTTAGAGAAATTCCCACATTTTTAGAAGTGAAAATGTGAATTTTGTGAAACGGTTTCCGCGTGTGGCAAAATCAAACTATTTTATTAAAAAGGTGATGAAAAGTCCAGAACGTTTAACAATTTCTGGTTAATTCTCTGGGATCCAGTTTGTAACAAGGGTTTTTGCTCGAAACCCCACCGGCTTAGTAATGTAATTCTCCCAATCACTTACTATACTCATGCATACACGGCCAAGTTCGCGCAACTTGCAGCAAGTCTGTCATCAGGCCGCATGCGAATTGTTGCCATCAAGCCCCATCTCAGAAGCGTTCGCTCGGCTTGTTGCGGCTTGACGATACTTGCCCGCATCAGCACGACAACAGGCTTGCTGCAATTTGATGTCGACAGACCTGTCGCAATGGCGATGACAACAGACTTGCTGCAAGTTGTCGTTAACAGACCTGTCGCAATGGCGATAACAACAGACTTGCAGCAATTTGATGTCGACAGAGCTGCAGCAATGGCGATGTTAACAGACTTGCAGCAAGTCCGCAGTTGACATGACAACCAACGATTAAACATGCACGCGTTTAATATTCCCGCGTGTTTTCACACATCAGAATTCAAAAAGCAGAAAACACTCGCTTCAAAGTACTTTAGATCATTTTATTTATCGTATATGTAACTGATCATAATACAATTTTACATGTGAAATTACAATAAAGGCAAAAACATTGCTAATATATACTGAAACCGATGAAATATACTTCACTATTTCAACGCTTAAAAAGTATTCTCAATTCGTATTTTCGTAGCTGATAGTGATAGTCATACACAATATCAAAGCCATAAACAATGCTGTTTATATAAACTACAGGGGCCGGTTGTACGAAAGGTGGATCAGAATCGCTATCCGGTGGATAAGTCGCTATCCAGCGGTAAATTTTATCTGGAGTGAAAATCGCGTTGTACGAAGCTTGGATGGCGCTATCCAACGGATAAAAATGCACTATCCGTTGGATAAATTTATCCGAAGTCCGGAGGTAGTTTAAATCATTTAAAAGAGATTGCTATTGTGATAGAAATGGACAAATATACCGTTTAAAAGTCCCTTTTTTGACACTATAATAAACATGGAAACTTACTTATGACTTCCGTCTCGCTTTTTAACGTACACCATGCTCATTTTGACTTTTTTGAGTCACTTGCCCATGAAATATAATGCCATGACTTTTCCATATTTTACGAAGACCAATGTCAGTGCTCAGACGTTCAGTTTTCTGGCTTTTTTCCTTCTTTTTTTCTATTATATAGCTCGATAACAAGCAATAAAACTTTCATTCAATGAGTTTCCTTCAACACCAAACAAATATAGCTGCATATAAATAGACAACAAGGCGTCGAAAGTCGAAAAATATTGTTCGCTGGCCTTGATCAGCCAATCAAATCTTGCGAGAAAATGTTCTTAAAATTGTTTTGAGCCTAAGTGAAAGGTCAAAGAACAAATATTCGGACAGTACATAAAATAAAATTGAATCGACGTACTAAAACAAGAAACAAAACTCGCAGTCTTTGCTATTGCCTTCGCACAAAGAAGCCAAAAATCTTTTAAACAAATATCGATAAGTATAGATAGCAAACTCTTCACTGTGGGAAACGAAGTATTGCAACGATTGGACGAGAAAAACTCCAAATATAAACATGAACAAAAAACCTTTATTGCAAGTTGATAGTTCAAAGCCAAAGGTTAGTGGAATTCACAAGTTATACGAAGGCAACAAAAGTTTACAAGTACCTAGCAACAGCTGACATAAAGATAAGAAATTTCAGGAAAATCCTGTTTTCTCCGGTTAAAATTAAGGTTATCCGACGGATAGTCCGTGCTTCGTACAACGCATTTTTATTCGGCAGATAGCTATCCATTGGATAGGAGATTTATCCATTGGATAGGACTTATCCACCTTTCGTACAACCGGCCAGAAAATCTAGACGTGGAAAACACAGGAAAATACTTTAAACTACCTATAACTAACAAAAACTATTGTAGCTAAACATTAAAAATGTCTTTTCTACTCTTCCACGATGTCTGCAAGAACCATACAGACAGCAGATTTCCAAACAACAAACCCGGAGTCGGATTGTGTCCGATGATCGATCACGGAGTTCACCGGTTGTCTTCTACACAAATTTAACAAATACAAATCAATCGAGAAAGAAACACAATAAATAAAGAAAGCCTATATAGAAGGATACACCTTACCTGAAATTTATAATCCTTTGAACAAAGGCAAGAAATTTAACTGCAAATTCACCTCGAAATACATTCCCTTCCTGTTGTCAAACTTCGCTGTAAAAAGTCATTATTGCTGTCGTGACTTATTTTACCGTTTGGTTTTTGAAAAATTGTTAACAGCATTGTTCATAACAGGTCTGTTCACATCAGGGGCCGGTTGTATAAAAAAGTGATTAGCGCTAACTGTAGTTAGCGTTAATCACTGTAGTTAAATCCTTAACTATGATTAGTTAACTCAGGGCGCTATAAAACACAGAAAATAGGTGTTTTATAGCGCCCTGGTTAACTACACGACTTAACTGCGTTGCACAAAACGTAGTTAGTCGGACAGTTAACTAATCACGTAGTTAACTGCGCGTGGGGCTTGCGTGGGGTGGTTAACATAAATTAACATAAATTAAGGCTCATGAACGACCGCTGACAAAGCAATTTGAACTTGATCGTGGTCTCATTTATTCCAAAATGGCGAACAAATTTAAAAATATAATTGTAAAAGAAGGAGCTTGACCTGCGATAAAAACAATTACTATACATTTTGCCTACAAATACAAACATTCATTGTTACTATTTTGGACTTTAAAACTGCCCAAGCAAATTATGTTGTTTGGATCGCCTGTGGGAGACTAAGAGGACATCCGAAATGTATGTCACTATGTGGTATATTTACTATATTGTCTGTGTCTGACAGTATCGACAGTGCTACGCACATTGTATAAACTTGTTAGAATCTTTACTTTGCTAACATAAGTCAATGAAGAGAAGCGAAGACAATTCATCTGTTGGAAAATTAATGTAATATAATTTAATACTGTATATTTTTTATATACTATTGCAGTATTGCCTATGCACTGTATGGCAGTTTTCTATTAGGGTGTGCTAATCACTAAAATTTAGGTGTGCAAGTGTGTAATCCTGTCTACAATTTATTCAAGCATGCAGTGTGTACTATTAAAGTTGGTATTGATGTAAAAAATTGACAATAATATGCAATAAATACTAGTTGTATTGGCATCAATATACTTTGATATCCAAGTATATGCTAAGTTATCAGACAAAACAATTCTTGTGTGTGCACTTGCCATACTCTGCAGTCTACTGCTAGTACTGTATCGTCAATAGTAATATTTATATATAATGTAATTTTTTTTATTATACTTTACATGATAAATAGCCTGCATAGCAGTTGCTTATTTTCTGAGGATTTTTGAATTAAGGATTTTTAGTTGCAAATTTGACTAAACTCCTCATGCACTGACCTCATATGAAAATTTCTTTAAAAAATGAAGCGACTGCTATACAGGCTATACGATGGTCACAACTGAAATAAGAATATGTTTTCTATATTTGTGATTCCACTATACTTCTCCCAAAAACACTGTCACTCCATTTTATACATTATGAAACTTAACCTGGTTTGTTGAATCCAAAGGAAAAATTGTTGAAGTTTAAATATGCCTAACTCAGGATGGGAATATGATAAAGGTAACTACCAGTTCAACCCTACTCTAGCACAAGTAGAAATAACCCGGGACAAGCACATTTAAACTTAATTAGTGGAGTGCGGAATCTGGTATTCTGGGTAATGGGTTGTGTATCTACTGAATCTGGTATACTCTGTTGGGTATCCACAACACCATTGAATCTGGTATTCTGGGTTGGGTACCAGAGCCAATGGTGGTTTATCAATTTCATGTTTTTCAATACTATCTTCATAATAATGATGATTGTTGTATGTGATGTTGTGTTATCAGATATAATGATTTTTTATACAATTCACACTACAAAACTTGCATTTGGATCATGTTAGGTCATACTTGCCTATCTAACTTTTTTGAACTACATGAATATACAGTGTGTACAAAAATTCAAAATGTCTGCCCCGCAAAAAAGTAATGAGAAAGGGACGAAAAGAAAACAGAATTTCACTGCAGCAGAATGCAGTCTGCTGGTTGATTTAGTCGAAAAAAATATGGACACATTACGTGGCCAATTTACTAGCACAATAACAAATGCTAAAAAGCAAAAGTTGTGGGAAACTATTGCTTCCCAGATAAACAGCTTGGGACATGAAAAACGCACATCGAAGGAAATTCGGGAAAAATGGCGAAACATGGCCCAAATTGCTAAAAAAACCAATTCTGGGATACTCCAGTCTCAAAGAAAAACTGGTGGAGGTCCTGCAGCAAAACCACCAACCACTACCACAGAAAAAATTATCAGTCTTTTGAGTGACGAGCCTTCCTTTTCGGGAATACAAGGAGGTTTTGAGTCTGGTGTGCCATCTGATTCAGGACATTCAGGTAATTTTATAGTAACTCTTTTCATCTGTGTACTTTCCAATGAAATAAAATAATTCAGCTTGTCAATGGCGTATTGAAACATTGATATTAAACTCGGTAAATTAAACTATTTTGCTCAAATATTGAATTTAAATTTTCCCGCCAAACAAGTTGGCGGCCATCGCTGAATATTAAAATAGGTGCTAATTTATACTGACTAACCCACCCTGGAATTTTATTTATTTTCCTATTGTTTATCGAAAACAAATGCAAACTTTGTTTCACCACAATAAAAATGTGTTTATTCTTCAGCTAAAGATTAGAAAGGACGAATATATAGTCTATATAAATGTGCAAATTCATACGTGACAAATTTCATATATTTTAAAATATGTATACTTTTAACATGCTCTATCTTCATACTTCTATCATTTTCCTAAAATATTTTCTCTTACTATTAACAGAGTCTTTTATTTCAAACGACCCACTTGGATTCGAAGACGAAGTTGATGAACAAATTGAAGTTGAACAAATTAATGGTAAAATCTAGTGGACCTTTTTAATAATATAATATACAAATTTAATATATAAAGCATGAAAGACCATGCAAACCTATATTATTTAACCTGTTTATAATGGCACTGGTGCCTATCATTTTGGCCTGCTTTAGGGTTAAAAATCAATAAATTGGAACCCTTGAAACCTATCTTAAACCACATTACACTATACACTCAATTTTTGGTACGACACAGATAAAACTGGCCCTCCGTACCATTTTTATGTGTGCTAAAACTTTGTAAAATATGTATAGTCTCAGCATCTACTGTAAATAGTTTTATCTGTGCTGTACCAAAAATCAAGCGTAGTGTAAACAGGGTTTAATTTTTTTATATTTTTAGAATAAAATGCATATTTCATACGAATTGAATTTTTGTTATCCTATGTTAATAGGTAGTGCAGGTGAGTCGTCATCATGCAGTGGATCATATCAAATTATAGATCATTCCCCACTCGAGACACCACAACCAAAGAGGAAACGTCCAAGACTCAAGGCGAGATGCGCCTCGACGTCCAAGAGCTTCATGTTGAAGTCCTTCAATTAGAGAAAGAGAAGGCAGAAATCGAGAAGGAAAACCTTCTTTTACAACAGCAAAAATTAAAGCTGCAGATACACCTTCTTGAGAGAAAAGCGAATGCTGCCGAAAATAATGAGCCGTTTCAATGCCCTCTTTCTCCAATATACTAGTTACTGTGACTGGGTAATACCACATTGAACAAAGTTGTTTGAAGAGTGAGTATATCATGCAAAGAGATCCTTTGTGCACTTGGCATCCCAGAAAATGGCTGTAGCGTTTGCATGGGTTGTAATTTGCCTGTGCTTTCTCCTGTATACATTTTTTCACAATATCATCGCATTTTATTTTTGTTTGGTTTACCGGCCTTGAGGTTAAAAAATCCCAACACTATTCAAGTGGAAGTTGATGTATTAAAATAAATTAATCTGATAGTGATTGGTTATATACAGTCAATTTCACATAACTTTTCCCTTAATGCTGCAATTTTTGTTCCCAACTTCGTTGTGAAGTTCAAAAGTTCATATGGAAATTCACAAGCTGGATTGTAAACAAAGCCTCTGATTGGCCACTGAAGTAAAAGAAGCCATTCAAATGCATTGTTTACAAATAGTTTGTGAATATGATTATGAACTTTGCAACAAACTTTGGAACGAAGTTTGCAACATTTAGGGAAAACGTATATGAAATCAACAGTAAAAGTATAATAAAAACGTACAAAGGATCAGTTGCATGATACATGTTTCACCCTGAAATTACTGTAAATAGTTAAAGATGCGGTACAGTCCATTCTGTGCATGCATACTGTACATTTGAGCCTTGAACCTGTAGTGTCTGGCAAAGCCTGATTTTGCTATGATCACTTAATTTAAATTAATGTTGATCGAAGCAAGGAAATATAATATATACATGTCAAAACTTCATTTATAAAGTTCATAATTTAGAAAATGTAAACAAAGTAGACACATGCAAATGGACTGTATCACATCTTCAAAATATGTTTATGCAAAATATGTTTGTGCCATATAATCCCTAGCGGTTACCCCATCACGTTCTGCTGCATCGAAATGCTCCTCTCCATCTTCCAGCTCCACAAGATCACCTTCATCTTCTTCAGGTTCAGGTTCATGTCTCTCGATGGCAATGTTGTGCAAGACAGCACATGCCATCACAATAGTACAGACTCTATCTGGTTTCATTCTAAACAAATATAACACAATTTATAAATTAATATTGATTAACACAATACTGTAACTTGGAAGGTTTTAAGCCTGCAGAGCAGGTGTTAGAATCCCCTGCTCTCCAGGCTGACCCTTAGTGAAGCACCCCATATTCTCAAAATTTTTTATCTGCCTGAGAAGAGCTTACCTTATTTCTGAATGTAAGACATGAAATCGTCTCTTCCAAATGCCGATTACACGTTCAACCAGGCATCTTGTTTTCTTGTGGGCCCTGTTAAATCTTCTTTGCTGTGGCAAAACGGGATTTAAATAAGGGTGTTATCAAGTATGATCTGAGGGCATATCCACTGTCACCTAGCAGTACTCCATCCTCTGTAGTATGAACCTGTTCTTCTAGTCCTCTGCCAAGTGCAGAGGAGCGAAAGATAAAAGAGTCATGGCATGACCCTGGCCACTTTGCCACCACATTTCTTAATTTTCCTATAGAAATATATTATGATATCTCATTTAAATATTTGTAAATAAGTCACAGCATTCTTAATTGTTAAGAGATTTTGTTAGATTCAGTTGTGTACTTTTGGTTTAATTATATTGATTAAAACTGAATTGAACATATATATTGAATTAACATGGAAATGCTTTTAAATATTAGTCATCCTCCCTTAGTTCAATATACCAGAGTATCCCCTTACTCTGGTCATAAGGGGGCGTTCAAATCAGCCAGCTAGGCTAACCTGGCGTGACTTGCAAGCGGCAAGATCCAGGATCCTATATTGTTTTTATCTGTACGTTTTGGAAATTTCATTCACACAGGGACAGTACATGGTTTTATAGTCCACCTAATGAATAATTAATAATGGAGCAGCTGCCGACAATAAAAACAGTATATCAAATGAAATAAAAACAAATATCACGTTCCCACCCAATTCACAGTTGAATTTCTTGGTAGCACTTGCTGGGCTGACCTGCCAGACCCAGCAAAGCAGGATTAAAAGCAGAACAGCCCCTAACTGCCCTGGCCTATTAAAGATTGATTTATCCAGAACATCGCATATCACGATGCAAATGTCAAGCAAGACTCATGTTGAACAGCCCCTGTAAAGATTGATCATCCAGAACATCCTGAACCACACAAATGCCAAGTAGCACTTTCAGAACAGTCTTGAAATAGAGTTAACTAAAGAACATTATTTCATTTTTATGTATTTTGACACCCTTTGAAAATTTATTTATATTTTTCAAAACAGGAAGCAATTTTTTAAGAGAATACATAATTAATTTCTTAAATGGTTACGTACTTCCGTTTGGGGGGACACGCATGGGTATTAAAATATATAAACAACAAAGTATTTACACACACCTTTGTCATCACAGATTACTTGAACATTTATGCTGTCATAATTTTTACGGTTGACATAATTTGGCTCGTTTTGGCTTGGCGCCTGTATACGGATGTGAGTGCCGTCAACGCATCCAATTACGCAGGGAAAACCCGCAATTTCGTACATCCCTGCTCGAATCATGTTTTTGTCCTCCATTGTTGTGGGAAATTTGATCCACTGTTCGTGCTTATTTGCAAGAGCAAGTGACACTCTGCGAACAATTCTGGACACAGTGGCCTTGTCATAGCCATGAGTATCGCCTATTACTTGCAAAAAACTGCCAGAAGCAAAGAATCGTAGAGCAATAACCAATTGTTGTTCGGTGGATATCGCATGGTTTCGCTTTGTTAGTGGTCTCACTTCGTCCTCGATGAGTCTCGCTATGAAAATTAGGGATTCCCGGCCAAAACGATAGCGCTTTAACAGTTCTTCATCCGAGAAACCTTCCCAGGGAAGATGGCGATTAAAAACTCTAGGTAAGCGTTGCCTTTCAATATTATCTCGCTCATAAAAGTTTATCACTCTTAATAAAGCCGCCATTTTTAACTGCGTTTTGGATAGTTAACTATACTCCAAAGCATAGTTAACTTTAACTACTTTTTAACTACTTTTTAACTGTAGTTAAGGCTAACTACACTTTTATACAACCGGCTTAACTACGTGATTAAAGTTAACTACTATTTAACTACTTTTTAACTGCAGTTAGCGCTAATCACTTTTTTATACAACCGGCCC